TATAGACGACGACAAGAAACCATGCCAACATAGAAAGCAATGAAACATCCAGAAGAAGAGAAAGATAGGCGAAGAAACCTTCCAAAAGAAAGTAAAAGAAGTCAAGAAACCATCCTACAGGAAGAAAGACATCTCTCAAAGAAGACAAAGAAGTCAAGAAACCATCTAGGAGGAGACAAGACATCATCTCAAGAAGAAAAAGAAGTCAAGAAACCATCTAGAGGAGAACAAGCACATCTCTCAAAGAAGAAAAAAGAAGTCAAGAAACCATCTGAGGAGACAAGACTCTCGTCAAAGAAGACAAAGAAGTCAAGAACCATCTAGAGGAAAACAAGACATCTCCTCAAAGAAGGACAAAGAACGTCAAGAAACCATCTAGAGGAGACCAAGGACATCTCTCAAAGAAGAAAGAGTAGTCCGAAACCTCTAAAAGAAGACAAAGAGTCCAAGAAATCTCTCACCCCCCCCCCCCCAGAAAGAGAAAGACGTCAAGAAAAACTCTAAAGAAGAAAATAGTCGATCCAACCTATTAAAGAAGAGAACAGAAGTTAGAAACTATCTAAGAGAAGACGCAAGAACAGTCAAAGAAACCAACCAAAAGAAGACAAAGAGTCCAAGAAACCTCCTCAAAGAAGAAAGACAGTCACGAAACCATCCAAAAAGACGAGAATCCTCACGAAACCATCCCAAAGAAGACGAGACAGTCAGCGAACCCATCAAAGAGGACAAGACAGTCCACGAAACAATCCAAAGAAGACAGGAAAGTCACGAACCATCCAAAGAGGAAAGACAGTCACCGAAACCATTCCAAAGAAGACGAGACAGTCACGAAACCATCCAAAGAAGACAAGACAGTCCACGAAACCATCCAAAGAAGACAGGACAGTCACCGAACCATCCAAAGAGCACAAGACGAGTTCACGAAACCATCCAAAGAGACAAGACAGCTCACGAAACCAAATCCCAACAGACCGACAAGACAGTCGAGAAACCATCCAGAGAAGAAGATGAAAGTACCAAACTTCTCAAAAGAAAAGAAAGGAGGTCATCCAACTTACTTGAAGAAGAAAAGAAGTTAAAAAACCATCCAAAGAAGACAACGGAAATCCGCAAACCATCTAGAAGAGGAGAAAGCAATCCGAAACTCATCTAGGGAAGAAAAAGTAGTCAAGAAACAACTTCTCAAAGAAGAAAAAGAAGACAAGCAAGTCATTAAAGCTTCCAGAAAGGAGAAAGAGCAGAGACACCTCTTAAAGACGAGAAAGCATTTAATACATCTATCGCAGTAGGGATAGCCTTCAAGAAGCCATCTGAGGAAGACGAGAAGATCGGTAAACCATCCCTCCCAAGAGAAAATAGAAGTCTGGAAACTTCTGAAAGAAAAGAAAGCAGAAACAAAACCATCCAAAGAAGAGAAGGAAGTCAAGAAACCTCTTAAAGAACAGAAATCATTTAATACATCTATCGCAGTAGGGATAGCCTTCAAGAAACCATCTGAGGAAGACCAGACAGTTGGTAAACCATCCCGAGAAGATAAAGAAAACAAGAAACCATCCAAAAAAGTAAAAGAAACTGAGAAATCATCAAAAGAAGACAAGGAAGTGAGAAAAGTGTCTAAAAAGGAGGAAGAAGCAGAAACACCTCTTAAAGACGAGAAAGCATTTAATACATCTATCGCAGTAGGGATAGCCTTCAAGAAGCCATCTAAGGAAGACGAGAAGATCGGTAAACCATCCCAAGAGAAAATAGAAGTCTGGAAACTTCTGAAAGAAAAGAAAGCAGAAACAAAACCATCCAAAGAAGAGAAGGAAGTCAAGGCAGCTTCTAAAACAGAGAAGGAAGTCAAGAAAATACCTAAAGAAGACAAAGAGGTAAAGAAACCATCTACAAAGAAGATAGAAGTCACAAAGCCATCCAAAGAACAGAAAGAGGAGAAGAAACCACTGAGAGAAGGAAGGGAAGAGAAGAAACATCTTAAGGAAGAGAAAGCCATGAAAATAACTCTCAAAGAAGAGAAACGTTCTAAGGAAGAGACAGAAGTGAAGGAACCACCTAAAAAAGTAAAAGAAGTCGAAAAGCTTCTCAAAGAGGAGAAGGAGGAACTAAGACCAATGACTGCCATAACTAAGCCTGCAAAAGAAGAACCAGAACAGATCTCTAAGGAGTTGAAGGAGAAGGAAAAGGAAGCAAGTCCTTCCAAAGAAAGGGCAGTACCAATGAAGCCCTCTGAAGAAAAACCTGAACCAGAGAAACCTTCTAAAGACGAAAAAGAGGTCAAGGTTATTCTCACAGAAGAAAAGGAACCAAAGAAGATCTCTAAGGAAGAAACAGAACCAACAAAGCCTTCTAAAAAAGAAAAGGAAACCAAGAGGCCACTTAAAGACAAAGAACCCATCAAGAAGAGAGACACTAAGAAAGGTAGGCATAGTCTTGCAATGTAATGTTTTTATTATTATTATTCAAAATAAGGATCTGTTGACGATCCAATACCAAGAATATACAGCCATGCTAACCGCTCTGTCCAGCTATACAACATGGCAATGCTCACATCATTATGCCAATTCTGATCACCATGACAATGCTTAAAGTCCATGAAATGTCCAAAATAAACGTTATTCTGTGTTAATGAATCGCTTCATCACTTTCCACTGTTTCATTTGACATATCAACATCAATGATTCTTTCCATAAATACCCCCCAAATAACATGAAATGTGTGCCACTTTCCCGTGTTATTCCGCTCCGGTAGCGAAAAGCTTGCCAGCCATTAACCCAGCTGTGTGACGTCACACGTGGCAAACACCAGCCTCGTCTGGATTGTTTGTTTTGTATCCTTCCGCTATTTTCTCTCAACATATGTGTAACCGGACCTCGCTAAACTTTTTTTATCTAACAATTCATGATGGTGAAGCGATGTGTAGTTGTGTAGATGTGTAGTCACTCATATCACTGATATGAATACATTACATTCTGCTGTTTATGTCTGTGCTTGTTGGTGGGGTGTCGGGACCTACATTTCGTGCAATGCACTTCTACTGAACCAGTAGGCACAGTGTTCCAACATCCAGGTTCTACTTTCTTCTGGTTGATCAGATTAGCATTAAAGATATTACTATCATTAGTAGAGAAGCTGAATTAAAGCCCTAAGAATTTAAAAATACTTTTGAGCTGTGAATGTTTCCTGATTGCTATAAACATTGATCATGGGTGCTGGAAGATTGTGCACAAAACTCGGGTCAGAATTAAGTTA